TGGTCATAGATACACATTTATTAGAATTCCTGTTTATGGTCTTAGAATTTGATGGAGACAGTTATTAATTTAAAAATCTAACAATCTTACCATTTATCACAACCAGCCATGGATTTCTCTCTCTAAAACTTACAGGTGTGATGTATGTATTTTGAGGGCTGATGTGTAATGCATGAATTAACTTCAGACACTGGGAAGCTTTTATAGCTATTGTAACTGTTAGCTACTGAGATTTAAATAGCTTTATTGGCTTATTGTTAGCTCCTGGACTATAGTTTCTTTATATGAACACAGTACCAACAGTGCAGATGGAAGTCTTTCTCTGACCATCTCGGTACCAGTTCTCACTGAAGAAGGTCCCTAAGATCTGTGTGGACCAGCAAAGCAGATGTTCACCGTTTTGTTTTGTTTTTGTGTTTTATCTGGCCAAGGAAGATGGGGAAATGTTAAGGTGCAAACACTAATGTCTGTTTGTTGCTGCAGGAATTATCAAGAGTCATGAATAAAGATTTAGAAATACACTTTCACTGTTCTCATCTAGTCCTTGGGAAGGAAAGGCTACAGGGAAATGCACATGGTGGGGAAAGTGTTAGCAGGGACCCTGGCTTGGTAGGTAGAGTTTGGAGGTGGTCCCTCGTGGATCAGATCGCCATCCGTTGGGTGTGATAGGTGATTCCTGACAGTTCTATAGAGGTGTGCTGTTCTTGTGGATAATGACAACTAGGGACTTTAATCTTTATAAGGGAACTTCCTGAGCACCCCCCCCCCAACCCACTCAGAAGCAGCAGCAGTACCCACGCACCTCCAAGGTGTTTTCCTCTTCTTCCCCTCATAAGAAATGGAACACCAGGTAGTTTCCTGTGCTAAAAATGCATGTTTCAGAAACTATGCATGCACATAGTTAGTAGAAATGGCAACTTTTAAGTTTATGGATGTGAGTTGTATATAATACCTAACCTGAGGGAGCACTGATTCCTATGAGAGTGTTGCATGGCTGTATTTCATGCTGGGTTTGGAAATAACAGAATTCTCACCCATAAATGATCAGACGAAGGAAAGAGACCTTTGAAGAATGCAGTTTGCGATAATAAGCAGTTGGGCCCTGAATGGCTAGTGAGGGTCCATGAGGGTCTATGGGAAGACTATCTTCAGAGAGCTAATTTTTATGAGGAAAAAAGATGAGCTTAGGAGTTAGGGGGAAGAAAAGAAACATGGGAACGAGTGTCTCTTATTGGTCTTTGGTGCCTCTGAGTGTGAAGAACAGTGCAGCCTCAAATGGACAACCAGAAATGTTTCCAGATATTTCCACCTGTTTCCAGTGGACACAGACAGAATTTATCCTTAGTTGAGAACCATCACTCCTAGGACGTGTCTGAAATAATAATAGAGCCAGGAAGATGGCTTATTGGGTAAAGTGTCTGCTAATACAAGCTTGAGGACCTGACGTTGAGTCTGCAGGACAGGACTTAAGTCAAAGGAGCGTGACCACATGAGTCTGTAACCCCACCACTGAACAGACCTGAGAATCTCTGGACACTGGCTACCTGTGCTAGCTCAGTTACCTTCAGGGTCAGTGAGAGATCCTGTCTCAGAAAACAAGAGAGAAAACAGTTGAGGAAGACCTTTAACATCTCCCTCATACAAACATGAACACGCACACAGAAGTCATAATAGTTAATAACGGTGTAGAATGTGGTAGATTTATGAAATGGTACATTTACTGATATTTGATCTGACCCATTCTTATTTTTACTTTTTTTAAACTAAAAAGATATATTTTATTCCTAATTGTGTGTGTGTGTGTGTGTGTGTGTGTGTGTGTGTGTGTGTCTGAATGAACATGTGAGTATGGGTGTCCAGAGAGGCCAGAAGGTAGTATGGCATCTCTTGGAACTGGAATTACAGACAGTGAGCTACTGTATGGACTTTGTGAATGAAATTATGTCCTCATCAAGAGCGGGAGGTACTTTTAACCCCTGAGCCGTCCCGCCAGCCCTTGACCTGACATGTGTATAGAGTGATTCTAAAAGTTTCTGATTCTAGATGGGCAGGCTATAAAGGCTTTGAGCCAATTGCTATAACAAATATAGAAAACTGTATTTTAGTTCTTGTTAGTTTGTGCTTTGTCGGCCCGGCAAAGTGGGAATAATGTTGGCTGTAGTCACACTGCAAATGAGAGTCAACAGCTTCTCAATTAACAGGTACATGTGGACCCCAGTCTGTATGATTCTTTGTTTCAGGTAAGAATTTCAGAATGAGTGATTGGGGTTTACTGCTTTACCTCAGCAGGACTGTAGTCAACAGACTTGTGTCTCATACATGTTTACATAAGGAATCAAAGATGTGCCCTGGCTTAATCAGAGCAGTTGACACATTTGTAACCTTAATTTCCCAAACATGTTAGACTGCAGGATATGCAGACACCTGTTCCTGCATGCATGTGCATATAATTATTTCCTTACCTGCATAAAATATTTTTCCTCCTCACATTTAATTTTTAAATGCCTTTGTTAAGGAGTTTCAATGAACCATGACTTGAGATTAAAGTAAAAAAAAAAAAAGAGAGAGAAATTAGGTTTATTTGTGTACTGACTGGTGCTTTGTGTCAACTTGACACAAGCTAGAGTTATCAAAGGAAGGAGCCTCAGTTGAGGAAATGCCTCCTTGAGATCCAGCTGTAAGGCATTTTCTCAATTAGTGATCAATGGGGGAGGGCCCAGCCTTGGTGGGTGGTGCCATCCCTGGGCTGCTGCTCCTGGGTTCTATAAGAAGGTGGGCTGAGCAAGCCATGGGAAGCAAGCCAGTAAGCAGCACCCTTCCATGGTCTCTGCATCAGTTCCTGCCTCTGGGATCCTGCCCTATTTGAGTTCCTGTCCTGACTTCCCTCAGTGATGATCAGCAATGCGGAAGTGTAAGCCAAATCAACCCTTTCCTCCCCAAGCTGTCCTTTTGTCATGGTATCTTGTCTCAGACAATTTGGGTAATTTTTATCTAGGATTTAAACTTAATAGTTCTTATACTTATTTGTGAATTCCCACTTAATGTTTATTGTGTTTTGCATGCATGTATGTCTGTGTATCATGTGTGTGCCTAGTGCCCATGGTGGCCAGAAGAGGGCATGAGATCATCTGGAACTGGAGTTGCAGATGGATGTGCGCAGTCATGTGGGGTGCAGATAATCGATTGTGGGTCATCCAGAACAGCGACCAATGCTTTTAACTACTGAGCCATCTCTCCAGCCCTGTGAATTCCTGTCTTAATGCAATTAAGAAATGGCTGCTTAAATTCAGGGGTGAAGAGAATGCAAGGTCCCCCCTCACTATTTTTGATTAAGTAGGAATGACTGTCCCTTGCTGGTGACTGGGTCCCCTTTGTCACACTTCTGCCTGCTTTTTGGTGTGGTATGCTGCGTCTTTAATTCTGCTTGGTAGGATATAACACACACACACACACACACACACACACACACACCCAAGAGGGAGCTCCTCCTCCTGGCTGTGATTTCTGATTTCTTCCCACAACATCTCCATTGCCCTTGTTCTTCCATGGCTTCCTCTCTTGTTCCCAGGTTTTTGTGTTTGTTTGTGTGTGTGTGTGTGTGTGTGTGTGTGTGTGTGTGTGTGTGTGTGTGTTGTGTATGTGTGTGTGTTGGCTGAGGTTGGCAGGAAGGAAGGCTTGGATTCAATGGAAAGGAACTGAACTCTGTTTCTTCTTCACTGAATATTCCCCGCCCCCAGCAGAATAAAGAGAAGATAAGATGTGTGATGACAAAGCTTTGACATTTTCCGAAAGTGAAGCTTTTAGTTCCTATAACGTGGAGTGGGGGTCAGAGAGCGTGCCAAGCCTTCCACTCTGTCTGGCTCATGTTGGCCCTGGCTCCTCAGAGGGCAGGGATACGGGCTGGCTGCAGAGCTCGAGAGCTTTCTCCCTTTCCCTTAATGTTTGTCTTAAAACAAACAAAACCTCTTACAGAATTCAAAATAATTTTTTTGTTTTATAGTTTTTGAGTTTCATTTAGCCCATAGGAGCCAATCATTCCACACCTATGTGTTAGCTCACAGTTCAAGATAACTGGATGTGTTCAGCTTATTACTTGAGCCTTTGGTACCTTGGTATCTTGCTTTGTTTATAGTTTAATTGCCATGGAGACCAGATATAAAGCCAGTACCCCCAAAGACTTAATGATGCCTATGCAATTACTGTTTTCCACTTCAGTTTTATATGTTCTAGTGATTGTCCTGTGTTTGAAATAATGTTAGAAGTTATAAAAAGCTACCTCTTCTGTGTCCTCCCCACCCCCATTCTGGAGTCACAGTAGCTTTGAGTGGCTTGAGTCCCTATGGAAACCTTGGGGCTTCAGAGTCCTCTTGTGTTCCTCTTAGGGATTTCCACAGTCCCCACCAGGGTGACGTTAGGATTTCAAGAGCAATTACATAGTTCAGGAAAGAAGTGAACAGAGAGATTTTGGTCCTTTAGAACCTGTGAAGCACCCACTGAGGAGTCCAGAGAAGATGGACTTCCACACTTTCACCTCCTCCTAGCTCCAGGGTCTTGCACATGCTAGTCAAGTGCTCTACCACTGAGCTATACTTCCTGGCTCATCAGCTGTCCTTATGCCGCCTAGCACAGCAGTGTGTAAGCTTGTCAAAATGTCATTGATCTGCTGAACCTTATACACCAGTTGTTTAATGTTCAGTTTTATAGCTTTCAAAACATTGTTGTCATTAGCATGATTCTATCAGTCATTGGAAAAGGGGGCGATGGGGTATGTCTTCCTGCCCTCCTTCTGGAGGTAGCCCTTCTGTCCTCTGTGCACAACACACATGCACACACACAGACACACACACGCGCATACAGAGACACAGATACACATCCATACGTACACACATACATACATACATACATACGTAGGTACGTACATACACACTCATGCACACACAGGCACACATACATACATGAACACACAGATACACATACACACTTGCACATACACAGACACACAAGATTTTTATTTTTATTTTTCTTCAATACTTGTTCTTTGCCAACACCAGTCTTCCACTGATACAGAGTGAACCCCACCTGGGCCATTGCATGCAAATCCCTTTTTTTAACACAAGGACTGCACATCCCCTTCCTTCACTGTAGGCAGTCTGCATTATATGCAGATTCTTGACATTCCCACAGCACTGCAGGAACCATCCTGTGTCTGGGCACTTTTACTTTTTTATTGGAGATGGTGAGAAAACTGAGGTGTCCATGCCACTACTTTCGCCCATCACGTTCAGTGCTAGGCTTTGCAGAGTTACTGCCTCGTCCAGGGCCAACACTGAAACTCAGACCTGTTGGCTTGCTGAGCCTCGCAGTGGAAGGAAGCCTTCGGGGGCGTGTCCTCAGTGAACTTATCGCTGGTTGCATTCAGCAGAAAGGTGTTTGTGTTCAAGCGCACATCATAACGTCCTGTAAGGATGTCGGACAAAGGGAGGCAGGCAAAACACGCTTCAGCAGAAACATGACAAAGACTCCCTGACTTAAGAGATCGGATTATGGGTATGGATGTTTTGCCTGCACCATGTGTATGCAGTGCCCACAGAGCCAGAGTAAAGGGTATCAGATCCTCCATGACTAAGGTAGTTGTGAGTCATCCTGTGAGTGCTGGGAATTGGACCCCAGTCATCTAGAAATTAGTTCACTTAACTGCTAGGTCATGTCCCCAGTGACCAGAAGCTGGGGTGTTTACTCAAATTTACTCGTAAATTTGAGAGGAACGACACTCCTCCTTGCTGCCTTCTAGACTGTTCATAGGTTTGAAAGTTAATTTTTCCTGGAGCTGAAGAAGAGGAGGAAGAAAAATTAAAAATCTAATTATGGACCACTAATAACAAAGTAATGAAAAACTTCAGTGGAAGTTCTTGAGAAACAGAGGCAGGAATAATTAATTAGCATATGCAAAGTGCAAACTGAGTTTAGGACAGGTCTCCATAGCAATTCTGTCTCACAAAAGCCAAGGCAAGGAAGCTCAGTTGCATAGTGCTCGCTGAGCATTTACCAACCATGAGTTTTCCCCAGCATTGTAGACAGCAACCTAAGCAGTGCCCCCTGCCCAAGAAAAAGAGCTCTCCTATGGTTACTGCCTTAAACATGACTGTCCCAGATGCCCAAGTAACTTAGTCATTCCTCTGACCTGTTCCCAAATCGAGAATTTCCATCCATTTCCAAACCAGGCCATTTTCTTAGGCTTTGCATAATTTTCAGTTCCTAGCAGGTGAGCTCTCTCCTTGCCTGTGAATATATTTGTTCAGGTTATGGTTATGTGTTAATTTCCTCTTTTAAAGACAATTCTTTCAACATTTTAAAACTTGTAAGACAGTAGCAACCCATGCAGAATACTCCAGCCTGCTTCACATGCTCTGGTTTTGTCTCCTCTTCCCTCCTCCCCCTCCTCTTCCTTCCTCCTCCTCCTCTCTCCTCTCTCCTCCCTCCTCCCTCCTCTCTCCCTCCTCCCCACTTCTCCTCCTCCAATAGCATTGCTTAAGAAATGTCTTTCTCATAATGGAATTCTTCGGTTTGCTGTGTCCAGATATGCATGGTCCTGGAGACCTGACTAGGGGCGACTTGGGAATGAAGAAAGGACAGACATATGTACACAGAAAAGCTGGGGGTGAGTGGGCTGTGTGCACTCTGATGGAGTGGAGGCAATTATCTCAGTGGGTCTGGGGAAGGCTTGGCAAAGTCCAAGCCTGACCTGAGGAAGGTCTGCCCATTTCTTATGGGGAAGGCCCATGTCAACCATCCACATTCACTCAGGACTTTATCCACTCTTTACACACTCAGGGCTTCCTTGTGTCTCTGCACCTTCTACCGGTGGAACTGTTATCATAAAACAGTCCGATGCAGTGCTCTACCATCGTAAGATCAGCCCCCCCCTCCAATAGTTCATTTCGATGGAAAATAAACACAGAAGTTGTTGACTAAGAATTCCGGCTTCTGAGTGTGCCATGGACCAGTTGGGTCTGACAACTCCACACCTTCGGCTTTTTTCACTAGAGTTGTGTTATGGGGAGTGATGCTCTCCGCTGAGAAAATGGTGCTGTTGCCAAGTCTTTACCTGTTTTGTCATCGTTTTCTGAAAGTCACGAGCTTGACTTGTACCACTGAATGTTCCCTGATGTTGTGACCTGGATTTTCACTTGGGTTCCATCATCACGCCTCTCCCGTTCTTGTCAGTGTATCTCCTGTGGTTATGCAGGGGGTCTGGCGGGGTGTGTTCTCAACAGTTTCCTCTTGAGCACATCCATTCCCTAGGCATAGGGAAGATGAGAAGGTACCATTGGTGGTGAGCTAGGCAGGGGCCTCTGACCCAGGACTTTGCTGGCTTGCACCCAGCTCCCTGTGGAAGGAATTCTGTCCTTCTGTACACTTAGGCTTTGGCACACCCTCACTTTAGTTTCTTTCTTTAGTACCAAAGACATTTGTTATTCTTCTCAATTTTTCTGCAGCTGAATCTTACTTTCTATACATTTTAAATCTTGGATGGCCTCAGCTTGTCTGTTAAGATCCTCCTTATCGTTAAGGAATAGGTCTTTGCCTAAATGCTACTAGAATATGAATATCACTCCCTTCTCCAATTTGAATTAGTGATCGAATGCCTATGTAGCTTGTGCATTATTTGACTCTGAATTGTAGTTGACTATTGACTGGTAGGGCTGTGTCTTGCTTTGCATACATTGTTAGTGGAATTCTTATGGGTCAAGGTTAGGCCCATAGTCTTCTGTTGCTCTTAACGTGGTATCACACACACAGAAAGCTTGTATAAGTATTTGAAGCATTTTATTGAATCAAGTATCTCTATAGAATGCTAGAAATTCCATTTCTTCTAGTAAATAAGTAATAAAATGTTTATTTGGTTGTTTTATTTTTTTAAAGGTCTGTTCACAGTCCAGTAGGACTCTACAGTGATAGAGATGTTCCATTCTCTGCTGGCTAACCCTGTTGCTGCTGGCCACCTGTGACCATTGAACATTTGAAATATGGCAAGTGTGGCCAAGGAAATGAACTTAATTTGATTAAGATTAAATTTAAGGACCACATGTGGCTGGTGGCTCATGCATCTCTCAATGCAGGCAGAGAAATTAGCTGTTTCAACATTGCTCTTCCTCCTTTCCTTCCAGCAGGCTTTATTAAGTGTCTGAGGTGGCAGTAGTTTTGAAGGCACTGGAGATATCAAACATTGGCTTCTTCCAGGATTGGGTAGGCAGTGACGGTGCTGCGGAGGGACTGACAAGATCCCTCTCATTAAGTGCTCCTTACGGCGGCCAGTAAATGTGGTGAGCTGGGGCAAACAGGCAGCCGGGAGCTATAGAAGAGAGAGGTTTAATGCCAGGACTGTTCGCAGCCCAAAATTGGGAACAGAAGGTCAAAAACTGGACAGGTCAAAGACTTTGTGAACGTTTCACAGGATGTCACTGGAGTTGAATGTGTGTTAAGGACCACTGGTGGAGATAATTAGCAGTTGACCAGTTTTATAGCACATGGACACCTAGCTATTCTGGTGACTGATCTTCACTCTCAAGAAAGTCTCTTGTAAAAGACAGGGCTTTGAAGGCCATGGCTTTGCCTATTTCTTTTCTCTTAGCACCAATGCTGTTAGATTTTTAGGATTTAAAGTACCTTTCATAGATTCCATTGCCTCCTGCAAATACCCAATACATGGACCATTCAAAAGGAAACTTCCATGTCACCATTCATACCACAAATGCTTGGCAGCCTCTGCTCTGAAACAGATCATATTAGGTCAACATGGCAAGCAAGTTTAGAGCATTCTAGTGAGCAGCCTGGTTGTAATGCAGCCATGAAGAAAACCAATAGGACTATTGTGGATAATGGCAGTGGATTTCTGTTTTGTGGCGAGAATCACAGTCTTGTAATCAGCAAGTGGGGAGTGGGGAGGGGAGATAATTTTGAGCAAGACCAAAGCCAGACAGAGGAGACATTGCATGGGTTGCCCAAGCATTTGATGGCAAACTGCAGAGGCTGGAATAAAGTGAGGGAGAAGGCCTTGTGCTGAGATGAAATCTTAGAGGAAGGGAGGAGCTAGGTGTTGCACTGTCCTATAAGATGTACCAGAGTGAAAAGAGCTGTAAGATTGGTCAGAAAGCATTTCCAGTGGTCACTACTGTTTTCCATCACCTCAAGAAGATACTTCTGTCTCAGAACGTTGAAAACATTTAGTCTGTCTTAGAAGTTGCTGCTTACTTTTCCTGGCCAGTCCAATTGCTATTTTGAGATCCTTTCACTTTGGCCACAGATTAAAATCCATTAGGAAGTTGTGTAGAGCCCTCCACTCTCCCAGAGAGTCCTTGAAGCTAAGTAAACCAGGGGAACATCTGATAGATCCTTGGAGAGCCCCGAGTGGAGGGGAGAATGCTGCACAAGTAGGTTTTGACTCCAGGTCTAATTTTAAGAGTGAGACTCCCTGGGAGAAGCAGTAATTGGCCAGAAGAATGTGATTGCTCCTAATAGCCTTCCTAATTATACACTTGGATGTTGGGGGCCTAAGGCCTGGGGTTTGGCACTGTACATAACAATTGACTTGTCCCTGGAGAGCTGTGACTAAAATACCTCCTTAAAGATAAGCCTATTTTCACATCCCTCCAGCAACGAAGATGCAGATAGAAGGAGAGGAACGGGTTATATAAGTGCTCTTCCAGGTAGACTAGCAGAACTTAGAAAGTAGACAACGCATAAAACCTTCTTACATTACGAGTGTTTCTGAGATCAAAGGTGGTGTTGTTGCTGTTAGTTCCATGCTTGTGGTTTCCTCTTGCATTTCCAGTCGTTAGGAAAACAGTATAATCAGTCAGAAGTTGCTACATATCTATTTAATCAGTCCCTTTGGGAAAAGGTGAAGCTAGAAAATATCTAAATCTTGTGGTAGGGGATAGGTGGACACAGACCCCCCCAGCAAAGATGTTTTGGGAATGGTTAGTGAAACTTATGAATTTTTAATGAAATCACTGGCAAAATAAAGTTCTCTAACTTTCAGCTACATCTGGTCTCTAAAGAATTTTTGTTTGCCTTGAATTTTTATTGTCTACAAGTTGGTTTCTAGTATTTAAAAATTTAAGAATTTCATTTGAAAATGCATCCGTGTATCGTAGTGTGTATGCACATCTGAGAAGACACAGTAGGATGAAGCAGTGACCCAGCAGGGGACCAGGTTGGTGGCATCCCTAGTACTTCCTGTTTGCTGAGTCCCTATGCTTCCTAAGAGTTTGGGGCTCTGGCAAGTATATCCCCTGCTCCTGAGAGTAGAATTTGCATCTATGATTTAAGAGTTTGTTTTCAGTTCATTAACTATTTGAAAGACTCAATTCTTAGGCACTGCAGCCAATTAGCCTTATACACAAAGATAAAAGACCTATGAAATTAAAATGTGAGCCTGTGTCCACCCTTTTTATTGTAGAGGGTGGGCCACTTGAGGATGTACTATTAATTACAAGTCAATGGGGTTTTTGTTAACCAAACAGAGCCAGGAGCTCTTATTGCAGTGCCTCCGGGAGAGTGGCAAGAACTTTTGTAATTCTCTACTTCTTAGAGTTGTTAGCTGGGATAGTGTTGGTCGTTAGCTAACTGAAGGTGACCGAAAGCTGGAGGATGAGAGGACTTGGGGTAGAAAGTCTCTTTGGTGACCTCTTTAGGACCAAGGATACTTTGTCAGGTGCAAGAAGGCGGCCTTGACTTTCTTCTGCTGCATATATATAAAAAGTTCAGGTGAGCCATGGTGGTGTACACTCACAACGCCTCAGGAGGCAGAGGCAGGCGGATGTCTATGAGTTCAAGGCCATGCTGGTCTACATAGAGAATTCCAGGCCAGCCAGGGCTGTAGACCCTGTCTAAAAAAATAAATAAATAAAACAAAAACAAAGAAAAAATTCCCCCAAACACAAGTAACATTGGGTACAGGTGGCTTTCACAGACTCTGGCATCATAAGAGCTAATGTATTTGCCAGTTGTTCCATTTGAAATAATTTTAGCTATGAGTGCTTTTCAGATAAACATTAAAGGTTGACTTTTTCTAGAGCTGAATGATAGAAACTCTAAGTGGCTTGATGACTCTGTTTTGGTTAACTATTTCTAATCTTCTATTTTTAATGTCATATACTACTCTGAGTAATGTAGACCAGCAACTTTGAAATGGATATCATGACTTCGTTATACTACTCCCTCCCGTCTGAATGACATTGTGTCTGTTGGTAGGCTTTTTGTTGGTTTAATAGTACCATTCCTAACTGTTGACAGACAGTTGATTTTCAGTTGTACTTGTTATAAAGATGTCAATTATTCAATTAACTGAGTTCATTATCTGATTGATCTACTTGTTTCTTTTTAAATAAACATAATGTAAATCTGTCAGGGCTTCTGCCTCGCCTGTAATGACCATGCTGCCTCATTGAGTCAACACTGTCCTCACAGTGTAGGAAAGTGACACCTGAGTAGTTGTTTTGGGGTTCTGAAATAGAGGGGCCACAGCTGTACGGTTCTCTGACTTTCTGAGACCACAGGGAAGACTCTGTTCTCATCTCCCCACTCTGGTCAGACTGTGAGCGGCCGTATCTGTGCTTCTCCCGCCTCCTCAGTGTCACATGCTTATTTTCCTACAAAGGCCTCGAGGAACTTGACGAGCCAGTCGATGCTAAGATGAAGATGGTGCTTTATTATTTATCAGGATAGTCTTATCCTGTATCAATCAGTAAATTGAGTTTGAATCAATAGGCCAGGCAGATGAACCCAGCCTTCCTAAATTTCATTTGGTATTAAATATTAAATCCTTCACTAGTTGTTGATTTTCAAAGTGTGATGTATTTGATGCTTGATATGCAGGTAAATAAGGGTGTTTAATGACCCAGAGAGTGTGCCATTTGAAGGAGCTGAGTAAATGACCTTGTTAATAGAGGCTGAGTAGTCTACTGAGATGAAGGCTAGAAGAGAATATTGAAGAGCCCATGCCTGGTAGGACATTAATCTCAACTTCTCAGGAAGCTGAGGCAGGAGGATTACAAATTCAAGGCCAACCCCCGTAATTAATGAGACCTTATCTACAATGAAATGTAACATGAGAGTTGAGGATGCACCCATTGTTACAGTATTTGTGTAGGATGTGTGAGTGCCTGGGCTCACTCCCCAGGACCCCAGAAAACCAAAGCAGGCAAGTGTAGCCCAGTACACCGGTTGCCATAGGACCTTTCCCTGTGCACAGGATATTTAAATCTGAGAGGCTTCTCACTTAGACCTGCTCTGCCTTTCAGGGTATTACTGTTGTTCCTTTCAGCTTGTAATTCACTTTCTTTAGCATATTCACATTGGTGATTGGCTTTGTGCTTGGCATTCTGGGTACTGAAGTTCTGAATGAGTGTATGTTGTCGTTTTCCTGGAAGGAACACATAAGACAGTTATAGTTCACGGTACTCGAGCATGAGATCAGTGACAGCAGGGAAATGCCTGGGTTACTGGAGGACCCAGGGTGTCAGTGATGGACAGGGAGGGTTTCTGTGGCTGACTGACACTGAACTGTGGGGGAAGAGGGCGGAGAATGGTGAATGTTCAGTGTTGACATTGGCATCATGTTGGGATTGGAGGAGGTGGTGGCAGCATGTTCCTGCAGGGAACAAGTTTGAACAAAGGGTGGAGACCAAAATTGTTGCATAATTCATGCTGGGGCCCACAGGGAGGTCATCACCTCTGGAAGGAAGGAATCTGAGGGCTCTCATTAGAAGCTGCAGAGTTGATCATGGAGAGCATTCTTGCTGGGTTTTGAGCTTGTAATGGGAATGAGAGTGGTCTGTGCCTGTCCAGGTTAACTTGAAGTATCCCAGGATGTGCTGTTGGAATGGTTTCCCTTATCGTTGACTATTGAAGTTGTGACTGTTGAGGAAATTTGGGATTAACTGAGGAGAAACACTGGGATTTAAGGACCTAGAAAGGGCAGAGCAGTGCACAGCAGAGGGCCTGTTCCTGGTGAAAAGTGCACAGTAGTGAAGTCTGAGTGACGTGAGCTAAAAACTGCCCTGGAAGTTTTAGACAACACGCTAATGGAGCCTGTGTTTGGAGCCATCTGCCTTTCTGTTCCCTGAGATGATGAGAACGTGCCACTGAGTGGGAGGGGCTTGGGGACAGGGCTGAGCAATGCATGGCTGGGCAGGAAGTATCTTTTAACCAAGGGGTGTTTTTCTTCTCTTCCTCATTCATTGCTTTCAGGTAATTTCTTATTGCTGTTGGCCACATGTGGTTATTTTTGATTGTGCAAGGATGCGCTTTTAATTTAGAAAGCTGAAAAGGGATCAGGAATGAGGAAGCAGAGAGGGTCGACTAAAGACAGTATAAGCAATCAGTTTATTGCTGCCAGGATACTCCAGGTCTGGAGGTAGAGGCTGAGCTGGAAGCTAACACCTCTGTCACAAGCCAGGCCCACTCAGCTAGGTGTCTGTTATTGCCCCTTAGTAAGTCTCCTGTGGTAGCCACTCAGGAATTAAAGCTTGATAATTTCATTGGGCTGCTGTGATCTGTTTCTCCTGCCTTTCCACGTTCACATGCAGAATCAGCCACCATTAACAAGACACCGATCCATTAGCTCTCATTACAAGACAGAATTCTTTTCAGGAGTTTAGTATGCACATCCTTGACCCCTTTTTTGGAGTTGGAAATTATCTTGAAAATTTACCTCTACCTCTGTAATTTCTACGGCGTATTCAAGAACAGCTTAATAGTCTGAAAACGGATGAATTTAAAATGAGAGAGCTGAAGGTCGTAACCCAGCAGTGATAACTCAGCTAATGAAATATTCATTTCCAACTCGGAAGTGGCACTGTATATCAATATGTTGTCACCAACTGTCATTGTTACGTAGAGCACAGGTATATTTATGCATTCATAAATAGCTTGGGGAGGGGGAGGCTAATTGCATGCAGGAACGGGTGCAGCGCTGTTCACGGCCCTGTCTCCAGCCGGCACCTGCTTACCCGTTTCCAAGGCATGTCTGTGAATTAAGTATAGGTTCTGCACATTAACCTCTGCTGTGTTTGGTTTTGTGAATGATGCAATTAGAGAGAGAAGAGTTCAGGAGATATATGTGCTTTTTCAGGCCATGGCCACACCGGGGGTTTGTTTAGATAAATGTAAAATGGAGTGCGTAATTTAGCACTTACCTAGGAAAATTAAACTGAAACTATTTGGTTTGAAAAATCTAGAACAACGTAGAAGAGATATATATTTATATAATTAACTTCGCCAATTAAGAATGGATTTACGTTAGTAAAAATCAATGTAATTATCCAGATAATTCAGGCTAATTAAAGTCCTCCCCACATCCTTAGATTTCCATTAGCCGCCTGTTTCTGGTAACAGAGAACTTTTGGTGTTAAATTAGCTCTATAATTTGTGTAAAGTATCCTTTCTCTGTGTTGCTGGTGTTTCAGCTGACTGTGTGTATGTGATAAGCAGATTGTCCTTTAGGGTCAAATAAAGTGGGCAGCGTCAAATATTGTGCATCAAATCACAAGCATTATGGTAAGTATACTGACTTCAGTGTGCAATCTTTAAAAAATATAAAAACGTGTGTGCGTGTGTGTGTGTGTGTGTGTGTGTGTGTGGTGGCGGTGGCTATTCTTGGTTGTCAACTTGATTACATCTGGAATTAACTAAAACCCAAGAGGCTGGGTACACCTGTGAGTGAGTTTTCTTAATTAATTCAGCTGAAATGGGAAGACCCACCTTTGATATGGCTCTTTTGAGGTGGAATTTTGTAATCTGGCCCGCACCTTCTGGTGGCCGCCTATATAAGGTCATGGAAGAAGGAAGCCTTTGCTCTTTGCTTGCTTGTCCTCACTCTTGCTGGAAAGTCCATTCTTTTACTGGCATGAGAGCTTCAGGATTCTGGTGTATGCTCAAGACCAGCTGAGACATCCAGCCTCATGGATTCTTTCGGTTGCTAGACAGCCATTGTTGGAGTAGTGGAGCCACAGCCTGTTAGCCACTCTAATAAACCCCCCCTCTCCATATATATATCCCCTTGCTTTAGAGAACCCTAACACAGCATTCATGGACATGCATGTGAAGGCCAGGAACTGACATAAGGTGCCTTCCCTACTCATTCTCACTCTGTTATTGAAATTATTTTATTCTCACTGTGTGTGTGTGTGTGCGCGCGCGCTCCCTCATAGTTAGCTGTAGTGATCATTACTGGCACTAGCCCCCTGGAGCTGGAGTTACAGGTGTTTGTGAGTAGGTGCTGGGGGCTGAACTCAAGTACTCTATAAGATCAATACTTGATGCTAACTCCTGAACCATCTCTCCAACCCTACTTTTTAGATACAGTCTTTCAATGAACCTGGAATTTTGTAATTTTGCTCTATTGGCTGGCCAGTGAGCCCTGGAATCCTCCTGCATCTGCTTCCTCAGCCCTGGGATTACAGGCAGGCATCTGTGCCATCAGCTTTTCCGTAATGAGGGTGCTGAGCGGCACACTCAGATCTTCATGCATGTGCCACTCACTTTACAGACTGAGCCATCTCTTCAGCCCTAGGTATAAAATCTTTATATCCAGATACCCATGAACAAGGCTGGGGATTGGATTAGAAATAGGATTAGATATATATTCAGTGTCCTGACTTTAGTACACAGTCCCCACCCTAGTTCCAAATTCACTTATGAGAAGCCCCTGTGGCTCTGAATCCCCCCTTTCCTCTTCTTTTGAAATCTGTCCTTACCCTGATTTGAAAGTGCCCCCCTTTTCTCCCACGTCTGCCTGCCCCTCTAGCCCCTCAGAACAGGAAGCAGCAGCCTCTGCCTAGACATTTATAAATAGACGCCTCCTTAGGTGAATGTCAAGTGTAGGTTCTCTTTAAACCTCGTCTGTCTTTGGCATTTCCTTACCATTCACTATGGAATTAAAAAAAAAATTTCCTCCCTGTAGTCTGAAGGGGTGTGAAGTGGGTGGTGTAAGATGGGTATTTCACAGTGAGTGTTGAGACATGAAAAAGAGAGGATTTGCCTTGGGCAATTGGCATTTCATTTTAGCTCGGAAAGTTCATTTTGTTGTTTTTCTTCTGTTGTTGAGTCTGAGAAAAGAACAGAGGTTATGGCCTGGGCTTGCTTCATACTGTGAAAGCCAACTGGTCCATGTGACCTCGGTTACTGTAGTGGGGCAGGACTCTTGGTGATGTGTGCGGCGCCTTGGGCCTCATGAGCTGCATCAGGCCTGTCTCAGCTATTCCCCATCTTTAAAGGACTTTGAGAAAAAAAATTAAACAACTAGTCTGGTTATTATAATTACTGTACGAGTGCAGAATTAGTTGGAGAGTCAAGAGTTGAGAAAGAGGAAACAATTCCCAAACTGGATATGTATCTTAGGTTGTGTCAAGAACATGCAAGTATAGGGTTTGTGTGTGTGTGTGTGTGGGGGGGGGAGATACCCTGCATTTTCTTGTGTGGTCCTTCTATTTTTATCCTTATCTCATGATTTTTTTCAAAACATTAGAAATGACATATGTCTATCAGATTTTGGAGCTAATATATTTTAAAATAATTACTCTCTGATTAGATCATGCAGATTTAGAATATGCTTAAGCCGAGGAAGATTCCCACAGTGCCTTTGAAATGGCCCCTTGAGAACAGAACCTGTCCTCATGTATCTGAACTTAAAAGATGGAGAGCAAACAGATGAGTTTGGAATCCCCGAATTACCACCCTCCTCATCCTTGACTTGGTGCTTTCCTAAGCAAAGCACACTTACCTCCAAAGAGAAAGGAGCTATCTCGAGTTCTCTGCAGGCAGATGCTCTTAACTGTCAGGTCCAAAGAAATCCAGAATCCCTGGTAGGTAGGGAAGGAAATGAATTATAGGGATAATTTCTTGTGACCTTGAATGTTCATTTGTATTTTCTGTTGATGGTTTAAGTTAAGGGAAATTACTTGGACCAATTCCAGGGACTTGAGAAACCACATACCAGGAATTAGGGAATTCACGCTGTCACTTCCTTCTCTGCCTGTTCCAGGGTGGATCCTAGGCAGCTGTGGCAAAATCACAGCCTCTGTTGGAAAACATGCCTGTGCTGTGTTTCAGTGGGTGGGCTGTGTGTGTGAAACGCTGAAGATTACAAATTTTGTTTCACTGTTCCCCTAAGCCTCTGAGTAGTGGGAGACCGCACAGAGAGGACATCCGGCGGAATCTGCTTGATGAAGCACTTTTGGAACTCCTGGAAGGGTTGGTCACTGACTCTGAACACCAGTGTCTCTATCTGCACGTTTTGGACCTCATCACACATTCTAATTTGCTGAGATCCTTTGATTTCCACATGATGAACCATTCTACCACAATGGCTCCCAAGGAGTTGTTAAAGTCAGTGTGTTCTTAGAAACTTCTTGTAAGGCCGATTTATTGGCTTGATGGGCTATAAAGCTGTTTTGTGGGATGAAGAGAATTACCTTCTTAGCTGGGCATTTGTGGCCATGATGGCTTTCATGAGACTCCTTTCCATCAGTAGAATTCTGTTAAAAGAGTTGCAATTAGGCCACCTGTTCTCCAAGGATGCTGTCTCTCCTGTCCTGATGATGGAGCCTGATTGAGAAGTGACTACCAGCTTGTGTGTTTGTCAGGTAAAAAGAAAGGATCTATTGTCATACACAGTCTTCAAAGTCTCCGGTTGCTAGAACCTTCTGCATCTCGTTTCTTCCTCAGAACTGACCACAGCAGACCACTTCTGCCCCAAAGTACCAATGATGTTTCCCTTAGTTCAGATGTTCCACACTAGTGTGTAACTCATGGAGCCTTCTCCTGAACAAGACAGAAGCTTATTCTTAGGAATGAGAAAGAAGTTTTGGTCCCTAGGATTGCTAATAGGTTGAAAAGAATCATTTGTAACCGTACCAACCAGAGTACATAAGATTACAGAGAAAACTAATTACATAGAGATAATCTAATTTTTAATTTGTGATTGGCAATATGGAGACATCTTATTAACATCTACAAGATCTATTAGTTGTTCTGTGTACCTGTGACCCCTTGAGAAACCAGCATCATCTACAACATGAGAGTGATGTCTGATGGAGAGTGATGACAGAGGCCTTGGCATTGCTACCAGTACTGTGGTAAATTGCTAAATGTTAAACTCAGCAACCAGAGTCTGAAATCATTGCAAGTTCACAGATCACTGGGATTCTAGCTAGTTTGTTGGAGACCCAGAGTTGTAAAGGTTTTGTGTAAAGTGAGGTGGGAAATGTTTCTGACATTGTGGGCACAAATCTTTCTGCTGTGCTCCATGAAAGCAATCATAGATGCATTTAAATAGGTGTTCTGTGTTTTCATAAGGCTTCCTCTAGATACATGGAAGAGTGCTGCATTTGAACCATGGTCCCATCCCTAGTTTGCTCACATCATCTTTTTAACGTTCACTCTCATCTGGGCTGGCACATTGTCACTTTGGGACTACTCATTGCTGTCATTCTTTGTTATTTTGCATGCCTAGTGGTTGGGGGTGCTTTATTGCATTCATGATGTGTTTATGATGCATTATTTCTTGATTGATACATAATGAATAGATGATAACGACATCCTCTCTGTTCTCATGTACCCTCCTGCTGGTTGGGTAGATCAACATGTATAGGCAAGCACAGATAATAATTGCTGCAGTAGTTAAGCATACACTGTTGCTGGGCACCAAGGACGGCATTGCTGAGGTTTCTCTTTGCTTGGCATTCAGTACTTACACTAGAATATTTTTAGATTTCTTTCTTTTCTGGGATCTAGTATATATAAAGATTACCATGCCTATATTTGAGATGTGCAAGTCAGGTGAGATAAAAATAATCCTTAAAACCCAGTCCACCAACCTGGGAGAATACAGGCCAGCATGGGTAATGAGTTTTGTGTTTTGTGCTTAACATAATGGATGGTGTCTGCCTGAGTGTGCAGAATTAATAAGGCTCTGCCTGCACTCATTGAGGGTGACTGTGTGATCCTGTAGTCTTGTCTGACATGGGCAATAGAAAGGCCACGGAGGACAGCTGCAGCCCACACCTGCACCAAAGGAACCTTGAGATGGTTCCTCTGGAAAGAAAGGCCTTGTCTCCTGATTTGCAGGGTATGCTGTGTGGTGGTGAGCCCCTAAGCCCCCTCCTCCAACATAGGGTTCATCCCAGAACCACCACATTTTCATAACCACCCCCAGCTATTGACTACAAACTTGTAGGGGAACCAAAGGTATTTTAGTCCAGTGATTAGGTGAAAAGCAGACGCGGTGATGAAATCCCTCAATATCGGATTCTCTAGAACTTGCAGAGCTAGATAAGAACCTGCAGAACAAAGTTACTACTCATGCCTTAGTGAGTGACTGTCATGGGTAAAATAACCTCTTTTTTCCCCCTAAGTTCAAGTTCAAGGTTCTAAGTGCAGTTTGCTCACACAGGCACACACATGCAGAGCCAGCAGTACCAGACAGAAGTGTGGTCGAGTACACCCCCAGCCTCAGAGGCCTTTTCACCTCTCAGTCTCTCCGGCTTCTATGATTTTCTTCTCCCTCTACAATCCAGTCATTCACATCACGATTTAGTTATTTTATCTAGGAGTGTGTGTCTGAGTAAGTTGTTCATCTCTGTCGTGTGTACGTGATTGATTTGTTGATAACTCCCTGAATGTCAATTAGGTGAAGAATATGCCAAATCTGATTTTTTTGATCTGTTGAATATTTGCAAGGAAATTCTTGGTTATAATGAATTACAAATCAGCGTCTCTTTTATTCTCTCTTTTACACTGTCAACATAAGACATTGGTCATCCATTTAAAATAACGGCTGTCTAATCAATAAATGTGATATTGCTAAATTATTAATGAAACAGGAGAGAAGTATGTAGTAATTTTTTATTTGACTTGGTATCTCCATATATTTCTCTATAATTGATCCTGAGTTGTTAGATCTCAATCCCCGGGGGGAGTTTTGAAAAGGTATAAATTATTTCTCGGTGGACAGGAAAAACGAAGTCAACATTAGCCTAGGGTGTTTAGAATATGTTGTGTCTTAGACTTGTAGTTCAGTCTTGCTCCCACAGAGACAGAAGTTATTTCCTCGTGCAGAGATGAGCTCCCAGACATGCATATCCTCCAGCCTTTGATTCAGTGTCGTTGAGTGACTTTGGGAACAGAGGTGGTCTTATTCCTTAGGTTACCTCTTTGAGCCCAAGGTTGAAGTTGATAGGTCTAGCCTTGCTCCATTTACTAAAAACATTTGTAATACCTACTGACTGTCCTGGAACACACACAGCCAGTGCTAATTGGGGATTGTTTAAGGCTCGCTCTTGCTTTCAGAGCATTATTTATTCATTGGTTTACTTGAATCTCATCTCATTTTTGGTTTTATTAACATTTTATAAACTTTTAAGGGCAGGAGAAGGCAGAAAAGCATGTATTTATGTATCTTCATGTATAGTTGGTGGAGGCTGAATTCTAGAAACCGTGGTTTCTGTGGTGAGAGCTGCCCGTTCCTTTGGCTTAGGATTCTGTGATGTCAGACCACTGAATCTGGCAAGCAGGGAGGGTAGGAGGGTGTGTGTTCATCCAGCTGCTGCAGTCACTGAAGTGGGCTCTTGTGCGTGGACAGGTGCTGAGCCCTGGCGGTACTCGCATGGGTCTACCCACAATGTCCTGGTGTTGACATGCAATCCAGGAGTTTGGGTTTGGAATTTCAGCTGTGTTGCGTCAAGTTTTCCTGATTGCCCCCACCCTTCTTCATGGCCGTGGTTGTTTGCTTGTTTTCAGGAAGGGCTACTAAGTTGACAAAGTGGGCACAGCATGCCATTTGTTTATCGAGGTAGAGGTTTTTAGTGTTTTGAGGTAAGGTTTTGCCACGGGCCCAGGCTTATCTATAACTCAAGGTACTTGGGCCTCCACATCTTCAGTTTTGAGAGCCAGCATACCCAGCTAATGCCATGGATTGATTGATTGATTGATTGTGCATGAGTGCGTGAGTGCGTGTGTGCAGGCCAGAGGTCAGTGCTGGTTATTTTCCTCCATTGCTTTCCATCTTGTTTTCGTTTTCTTCCTCTTTCATTCTTCTGTATCCAACGTTTTCATTATTTCATGCATCCGAGTGGTCTGCCTGCACATATGCCTGTTAGCACTTTCGTGCCTGATACCCACAGAGGCCAGAGGAGGCTATCAGATCTGCAACTAGAGTTCCAAGTGGTTGTGAGCTGCCATGTGGGTGTTGGAACTCAAACCTCGGTCCCCTGGAAGAGCAGCCAGTGCTCTTAACCACTGAGCCATCTCTCCAGCCCTGTTTGTTTTTATTTTTGCTTGAGACAGGCTCTCACTGTGTAGCTCCAGTAGCTGTAGAGTAATCGAGTCACCCATGTCTGCCCCCTCTGGGCTGGTCATCATGCCTGGTCTTCAACCCTGGAAGAGACAGAGACTCTCCCTGAATCTGGAATTCACTGATTTGGATAGACTGGTGGCTGGCCATTGAACTCCAGGGATGCCTGTTTGGCCCGCCCAGCACACAGTTACAGTTGTATAACCCTTCCCATTGCCTTAAAACAACAACAACAACCATCACCAGCAGCAGCAGCAGCAGCAGCAGCAGCAGCAGCAGCAGCAGCAGCAGCAAAAAGAAGAATGCTAGAACTCTGAACTGCAGCTGTCAAGCTGGCCCATGAAGCGTTTTACTGACTAAGCTATCCCTCCAGCTCACCATTGATTTAAAACAAAACCAAACTGTAAGCTACTCTCCCCAGCCTGGGACCTTCCTTTCTGGACGGACAGACTCTGCAGTGCAGCCTGAGTGCCTCCACAGACCTTTTCGCAGCCGCCCCTCACTTTGTTCCTCTCACTGAAGAGGAGTGAGATCCCAAGTTTGGCAAGGCTTCGGGAAAGCAGCCGAGCACATCATCTGCTCTGCTTCTCCCTGCCATACATAAACAAACATCTTTTTGATTCTTCAGCTAATCTGATATTTTCCCAGGGCATGTTGCAGTTATTTCTACCAGATACCGTGTTGGAGTAAGCTGATTCTGCTGGGGAGGAGGTGGCAGGCTTAGGGGTGGGTGATGTCGCCGATCTGGAGTGTCTGGTCTATGCTGCAGGCTCATTTTTGTGGGTTAGCACAACTGCCTTGTCTTATCAGCAGATTATTTTGCATTAATCTCCCATCTCAGTCCTGCCCCTCCCACCATTATCCCCCACCCCTCGTTCTTTGTTCACGGTCAGAATTTATCATGGTTAGTTCCTGTAACTTGTATTTGTGTGTATTTTTAAAGGCTGTGTTAGCATTACTATTATTTTTGAAATTCTTGTCTTTATTTTTCTCTTGCCATCTGTTCATTTAAATATTCTCAGTTTGTTTATGATTTCAGCTTCCCCTCCATATATTTTTCTGGCATTTGGCTGTCCTTTCCTGACATAATAGGTCAGACTTTCGGAAATCTGGCCCCCGTGGAATTTGACTTTTTCCATAGTCAACACACCGTCTATGCCTTCTGAAATCATTCATCTCCTAGGTCTTTGAGCAGATGTTAACTGTTTCAATATTTTGTTGTTTTGGTGGAAAGAAAATTGAAATATAAGATGTCAGTGATAGCATGCTTTGCTTACACCACAGCAGATTGCGGCTCCAAGTAGAATATGCAAACGTCTTTAAAACATGGAGTGTTTGTTCCCTTATGCATTTTAACCACCATCTACAGGTTGTGTGCTCTGCAAAAATGAGTAAATGCATCAGGTTATAAAGATGGGCTTTGTTGTCTGTAGCATCTGAAAAGAGTGTTGAAATGCCTTGAATTGGGTTTCAGCTGTGGGGACTCACCTGGAGCTGACTGCAGCATCCTTGTGAGATGGAAGTGGAGAAGAGTGTCTGAGTTTCTTTTCCTGGAGCTGTGAGAAAACACTTTGACAAAAGCAGTGTAAGGAAGAAAGGCTTCACTCTGGGTCCATCCTGGTGGGAAGTCAAGGCTGCGGTGAGGAAACAGTGCCCCGAAGGCTTCCTGCTGCTCTGTGCCCTTTCTCCTATGCAGTTCAGGACATCAACAGGTACCACAGTGGCTTGGACTTCTCACCTCATCAGTGCAGTCAAGAGAATCTCCCACAGGAGCCCAGCTGCCCATCTCCCAGGTGACTCTAGAGTCTGTCCAACTTACAATTAACATTAACGTGATTTTTCCACTTGATAATATCTGGTTCATGTTTTATGGTTCAGACTCACCTGATCAGAATAGGAATGACAAAAATAATGTGTCTGGGAGCAGGGACTGTTTCCCAAATGGCAACTGATGATCAGGATTGCAGAGAGGGATGTCCTGGAAGGCCCAGTGGTTGGTGTTGCTCTTAGTCTACACTCCGGTATCTCCTGGTGGGTTTTCAGAGTGTCTGCCATCCTTTAATCATCCCCGTGGAAACAGAGGAATGTAGAACATGTCTCAGAACACAGATCATTGATTCTTTTACATGAGTCAAAGACTAATAACTGATGGCTGACTTTGGGGTTAGTTAACACAAGTCCTCCAATCTCACTAGCCTGATAGTTGCTAGTTCAGGAGCCCAAGTGGGCAGAACTTGGTTCCTTAGAAAGTTGGGAAGCCAGCAGAGCACTCTCCAAAACATGCAGACCAGTCTGAGGGTGGTGTGGGCCACTGGGGACCATTTCCTCTGCTCTCTTCCTTCTTTCTAGTGTTTTCTCTCTTCAGATTACAGGTGACACGCTAGTGAAAATCCAAGTCTCCTGGGACTTGACTGTGTCCCATAGACATATCCTCCTCCCTGTTGGTGTTAACTTGCGTTTGTTCTGATTCCTCAGACACCAAAGCCAAGGTTCTGTTTGCCTCTTTCCCCTCTCTCTGAACTAACTTGGGCCTGATGGTGAATACTAGTTATATAAAGATATTTAGAACAGACATCAGTTCCTCTCTCATTGCTTGTTTTTCTGATGTGTTCTGTCTCTCTCTGTGTGTGTGTGTGTTCCTGTGTATGCAGGTGCACTTGTGTGCATGTATGTTCCTGTATATGCAGGTGCACTTGTGTGTGTGTGTTCCTGTGTATGCAGGTGCACTTGTGTGCATGTATGTTCCTGTATATGCAGGTGCACTTGTGTGTGTGTGTTCATGTGTATGCAGGTGCACTTGTGTGCATGCATGTTCCTGTATATGCAGGTGCACTTTGTGTGTGTGTGTGTGTGTGTGTGTGTGTGTGTGTGTGTGTGTGTGTGTGTGTTTTGATGCCAGAGAACTACCCTGATGATTAAACCTCAGGTA